AATAACTGTACTGGATAAAATATGTCAAATATTTTTAAATATATGAGTTCATATTGATACATGAAATCAAAATACTTCATTGGTCCCCTGTGAAGGCTAAGATATGAACTCATTCTTCTGAAAACTGGTAAATACAAGTAAATTAAAAATCCAGCATTTTTTTGCTTCTATTTTATGAATTATACTTCTATATACCAAATGTGGAATGTTTATGAAATTGTCCCTAATTCTCTTTATGAAGAAGAAATGGAGTGACAGAGTATCATTGTTTGACAACCTTTAATGAAGTGATGAATCTAGGCAATGGTGTTCAATGTCTTCTTATATTATAAAAAATAACCAGATACTACTTGCCTCCCTACGGAAGAGTATAGTGTCATTTATACAGAATTCTTGTCAGCAAATCAAATCTTAATCATATTAGGTCCTTAGATCCAACTATAAGTTTGCAGAAAATATGTATAGAGGGTAGAGAAACATATTGATGATACGGTGGGTGTATAATGGCAAAATACAGAATGTGGAAAGCTGTAGTACAAACAAGGTTTTCAACCAATATTTCAAGCAAAAAAGTAGTAATAAACCCATGGATTAAAAGACAAATGCAATTTATAGACCTTCTTTGGTTTTTGACTTCTGTAAACTAACTTAAAGAAAATGAGAGAGAATTTTGGAAATTTGAATGCAGATTGGATTTTGATATTCAAAGATTATGTTATTATTTTGGGTGTAGTAGTGGTGTTGTAGTTACATGTTTTGAAAGAGTTCTTACATTTTAGGAAATAGTGCCAAAGGTTTTTTCAGAGGAAGTTACCTCTCTGAAATCTGCTTCAAAATTGCAGGTGGGTATGTATGAAATATGATTGTCCTTGAATTGGTAATTATTGAAGCAGGGTAATAGGTATATGATAGTTCATTATACTATTGTTTTTTCCTTTGTTCCGGTTTGGAATTTTCAAAAATGTTAAGAAGTTTTTGCTCATTCATATTTATGAGGTACAATTTTAAGGAACCATTCCCTCCTCTGCAACATTGGAAGAAAATCTGTAAAAATTTAAACATATAAACTTATGCTTATCTCTATAGAAGTTTTTAATTTTAAAATTATGAAATGCTTATGAAAACTAAAATGAGTTATAATATAATGAACACTTGTTTTACTGATCACCCAAGAAATAAAAAACTGAAAATGCAACATGGACTATAATCTAGTGACATTTTTCTCTTTCATCCCTGTAGGTCGTTCCTATTCTGAATTTCATGTTCAATATTTCCATGAATGTATATGTGTGTATATGTATGTATGTATGCATTTATATATACACACAATAATATATTGTTTTGAATTTGCATATTTAAAACTTTATGTTAATTATATGCTGTACATTTGAAGTTTTTTATTTCAAGATTTATACATAATGACATTTATTTTAATTTCTGTACTATGTTGGCTAGCTGAAAAATTGGTAAATATTGTGTATACTTATTTTTAAATGGTATGTGTGCTAGTCCTTCTTTGTGTTGTTATAAAGAAATACCTGAGGCTGATCGGTTTATAAAGAAAAGAGGTTTAATTGGCTCATGGTTCAGCAGGCTGTACAAGAAACATGGCACTGGTAAAGCCTCAGAGAGCTTACAATCATGGTGGAAGGTGAAGGGGTGCTGGTGTGTCACATGGTGATAGTAGGAATGAGAGAGAGAGAGAGAGAGAGAGAGGAGGTGCCACACTCTTTTAAACAACCAGACCTCATGTGAACTCAGAGTGAGAACTGACTCATTACCATGGGGAAGGTACTAAGCCATTAATGAGCAATCTGTGTCCATGATCTGAACACCTCCCACTAGTCCCCACCTTCAACATTGGGGATTATATTTCAACATGAGATTTGGAGGGGACAAACATTCAAATTATATCTATATATTAGTTATGTTTTCAAATAATAGGCTCAATATATATATTTTTTCAGCCTTTAGTCACCTTTTATGGTAAAGTACCTACAAATTTAAAGCATTGGATTCAATTGTTAATCCAAAAAAAAGTATAGTAAATATAATGTTTTCCATATGTTTTCAGTTTTTTCGTTCATTTTGAAGCATAGTTATGTATTACCTATTCTGTGTTAGCTACTGTTCTGAGTACTGGGTGTATAGAATAAGATATGCAAAGTCTTTACCTTTGTGAAACTTACATAATTTCAAATATTGATAAATTGTATAAATACATTTTGCTATTGGAAGTGGAAGGGCTGGTGGAAGTGGGCCCTATATTTTGGTTGCAACTTGAAATGAGAAGAAGCCAGCCTAGTGAAAAGCTTGGAGGATAGTCCTCCATATGGAGAGGATGGCAAATATGAAGACTAGGAGGTCAGAGAAAAAACTTACTGTATTCAAGGAACTGATAAAGGCCACTGTGGCTGAATCCTAGTGAATGTAGGAAATGTTATAAGGAATAGACTGAGAGGTACATGGGCTTGCTGACACAGGGCCTGCTATATTGGGCTGCGATATGAAACTAAGATTTTGCTTGAAGTCTAATGGGAAGCCATTGGTTTATAATTTGTTAGCAACTTGATTACATTTGTGATTACAAATCTACACATGTGATAAAATGGCGCAGAACTACACACCTACCAATGTCAGTTTTCCTGGTTTTGATATTGTCCTATAGTTATGTGAAATGTAACCCTTGGGGAAACTGAGTGAAGGTTATAAAGGACCAGTCTACTATTTTTTTGCAACTTCCTATGAATTGCTAATTATTTTAAAATAAAAAGTTAAAAAAATTACTGTGTGGAAATGGATTATTGGGCACCAAGAAGGGAAGCAGTCTAGTCATGAGGCTATGAGAGTTGATGATTGCTTGGATGTGGGTAGTAATAGTAGATATGGAGAGAAGTGAATGGATTTGAGGTATTTTAGAGATAGAGCTTGTATTGGGTTGCAGTGTGGAAAGGGGAGTCTAGATTTTTATCTTGAGCAACTGAATTCATGTGAATTGGAGAAGGTTAAGACTGGAAGAAGAATAGGTTGAGAGGAGGAACAGGAGTTTTATATTGGGCTCGTGAGGTTGGTGAAGCTATCGGAGGTTGAGGCTGCTGTTGAACGTAGAGCCATGCAGCATTCAGATTATAATTACAGCTGTGGGATTAGATGAGATCGCTCAAGCGAAAAGTGTAGTGAGTGAAGAGAAGCGGGCTAGGACAGAGCTGCTGGGGAGATGTCAGTATCTAGAGGTGTGTCAGAGGGGATCTCAAGGGCAAGAGGAGGAAAATCAGGCGTGTATAGAGTCATTGAATCCCAAGAAAGTGTTCTAAGAAAAGAGGAGATGACTGGTTTGTATGGTGCAGAGATGTGAATATGTTGGGGATAGAAGTGACCACAGGAGGCTTTTACGAGATCTCAGAGTTCAGATGGCAACCTGGTGATTTGAAAAGTGAACAGTATGTGGGGAAATGGTGAGAACAGTACGTACTTCTCTTTGGAGGAGTATCAGAGAAACAGCTGGTAGGAGCTTCTAGATCATACTTGTGTGCCTACAAGTCTGCTTAGTTGAAGGAGAGAGATAGATGAGGGATCAGACAAAGTATAATTGAAAGAGAAAGCGAGTACTTTGAGAATGAAAGGGACTGGGAGCAAGTGTTCCAGTGGATTGTTCTTTGAATCTACCAGCCAAAGAGAGCCCATGAAAAGTGAGAACATGTAACTCTTCTGCTAAAAAAATTCCCACTCACCCATTGTAAAAGCCAAAGTCCTTAAAATTGCCTACCAAACTCTAACTAATCTGCTATTTTTCTCTGTTCTCTCCCATGCCCACCCCAACTCTGACCTCTTTCCACACTACTATCTCCTCCAGCCACACTGGCCACCTCATTGTTCATAGAATATGGCAGGTTTGCTCCTGCCTAGGGATCTTGGAGTTTGTGCCTCCCTTTTTCTGGACAGCTCTTTTTGCTGGTATCTGCACGGCTTACTATCTTACTTCTTTCAGGCCTGTTCTTTTTTTTTTTCTTCTTTTTTTGAGACAGTCTCACTCTGTTGCCAGGCTGGAGTACAGAGACGTGATCTCGGCTCAATGCGACCTCTGACACCCGGGTTCAAGCAGTTCTCTTGCCTCAGCCTCCCAAGTACCTGGGATTACAGGTGTGCACCACCATGTCCAGCTAATTTTTTGTATTTTTAGTAGAGACAGGGTTTCACCATGTTGGCTAAGATGGTCTCGATCTCCTGACCTTGTGATCCATCTGCTTTGGCCTCCCAAAGGGCTGGGATTACAGGCGTGAGCCCCTGGGCTTGGCTCAGGCCTGTTCTTAAATGGTACTTTCTCAGTGAGGTCTTCTCCGACCACTCTTCCCCGCACTTTTTATTCCCCCAGTGTGCTTTTTCTCCATAGTACTTCCATCACCTGACATATAAAATATACATATTTACTTATTGATGTGTTTCTCACCATAAGAATGTACACTCTATGTGGGGCAGGAATTTTTGCTTGTTTTGTTTATACTATATTGGCAACACCTAGAATAGTACCATATGTACAAATATTTATATGATAAATAGGAACAGGGAAGAAAAGTGGAGGATAGATAGGCTTAAGGATCTGATAACAGGAAGATGAGTGTATTCTTGCTAAATTTATACCAGTTATGAAGCAGGGCACTAACTGAGAATGCAGTGGGATGGGAGGAAGGATTATTAGAGTTTTGAGGAGAGCAGAGTAAGTGTAAAAAGCCTTTGAGAATGAAAAGGTGAACTTTGCAGGTGTGATGTAAGATTACTGAACAGGGATATTTGTGATTTGTGGTTTTCTGAAATAGAATGTGTTTCTCACTTAAGTCAGTAGAATTTTAATAATACTAAGCTGTAGAACAGAGTAAGGAAGTGTGATGTGTAAATGCTTACTGTTTTTAAAAGAGTAGAATTGTTTTTAAACAGTGATCTTTATAGTATTGAATATTCACAGTTGATTTAGAATGAGCCCTAACATCCTATATTCTTTTTAGCCTTACCAATAATTCTAGGATTGTGGGACTCCTGGCTCAGCTGGAGAAGATCAATGCTGAATCTTCAGAATCAGACACTGCCCGATATGTTACATCAAAAATTCTTCATCTGGCTCAGAGTCAGGGTAAGCATTGATCTCTTCTTTTGATTTTGAAATGCTTTTTAAATTATTTGAAAGTGGATGCTATAAATGTCCAAACTTATAATGAATGGATGATTTTCCTTAAAAATGGAACTTACAGGCCGGGCGCGGTGGCTCATGCCTGTAATCCTAGCACTTTGGAAGGCCGAGGCAGGCAGATCACAAGGTCAGGAGTTCGTGACCAGCCTGGCCAAAATGGTGAAACCCCACCTCTGCTAAAACATAAAAATTAGCTGCGCATGGTGGTGTGCGCCGGCAGTCCCAGCTACTCAGGAGGCTGAGGCAGGAGAATCGCTGGAACCCGGGAAGTGGAGGTTGCAGTAAGCCGAGATCACGCCGCTGCACTCCAGCCTGCATAACAGAGCAATACTCTGTCACAAACAAACAAACAAACAAACAAACAAACAAACAAACAAACAAACAAACGGAACTTTCTCAAATTGATTCAAGAGTAGAAAACTGAATAACTCTGGAGGAACTTGATCTTCAAAGGTTGTTTCTAATAATGATTACAATTTTACTTACGTACGATTCCCTCTCCCAACCCCATTTACAAGTAGCACCTAATTCCAGTGCTACTTGATGTAGATTTTTGGCAAAAAGAAGTCAAGTGGCATAGAATATTGGTTATTATGTGGTCCCCACTTCGAAATTCAAGCTCTACCATTCAGTGGTTGGGTACCTTAGGGAAGTGACTGAATTTCTAGGATGTGTAATATATAATAGCTGTACCACCTTGTAAGTAGATTTACATGAGAAGTAGATTTACACAAGAAGCATGTAAAAAGAATGTTTAAAATATTCTATAAATGTCATCTGTAGTTAGGCATTATTTTATATTTTATGAAGGTAGTAGTACTAAACTGATATCAAAACCCTGACGGAGTACTCAAATAGTATTGACTTTGTACTTTGGAACATAATGTGACAAGGCTCAAATAAAACAGTGAATTAAGTCTATATATGGAAATATGAATATCATTGTTAAAGAATACATTTCAGGAATGAAAAATGGTTTAATATCAGGATATGTATCAATATAGCATCTGAATAGGTTGAATAAAATCCTGTAATTATCTTAATAGATAATAAAAAGGACTTTGATAAGACTTAAAAACTGCATGGTTTAAAACTCTCTCTCTCTCTATCTCCCTCTCCTCTCTCTCTCTCTCTCTTTGAATAAGAGAAAACCAGCAGCTACTTTAAGAGTTAACTGCACATAAAAGGTATTTGTTAGAATTAAGAACGCTTCCTTCCTGGCAAATGTGACGTCTGGTTTCACTGTCATCAGCTGTTTCACATCTTTATTTAACTGCACTTAAAAGGTATTTGTTAGAATTAAGAACGCTTCTTTCCTGGCAAATGTGACATCTGGTTTCACTGTCATCAACTGTTTCACATCTTTGTGGTTGCTGGAGCTTTTATTCACTTCCATGGTGTCTCAAACCTCCAGGAGTTTTGTTTCATGATTGGCAGGGGCTACAGTGAAGAGGATGCACTGTGATACCTACCAGTAGCCAGGGACTGTAACCCTAAACCAGGTCCTGCAGCACTTGCAGGCCTCTGTGCTGGCTACTGATGCCAGTAACAGAGGAGCCCCAAAACTCTGACACCCTTGTGGGCTTTGTGATGGCCCAGGGTCTCTGTGTGGTACATGACTGAGAAGAAAAAAACAAAAATAAATCATACCTCAAAGAACAGAGTGCATCAGTTGGGAGAATAATAGACACAGCCTAAACCCTGGCTTATTTTTATTTTGATAACTTTCTCCCATGTAGCCCATGCGTTTGGAGGGTAGTTGACACCACTCCATTGTTTCTTGCATAATTAAAAATACCTGTACCTTTTAATTAAGAAAGCCACTATATTGGATTCCAGGCTTTGGAAATATTGTACTTATCAACAAAGGAACAAGGAAGTTCATTGTATCAGTGCAAAATTAAATATGCCAGATATATTCACTGCATTGTCATATGAAATACTTCCTCCTCAAATAAACAAACACCCAAAAAAAAACAAAATGAAAAAAACTTCAAACTTATAAACACTTTTGTCCATTGTTCCTACCACTGTAGACTCTTCTTTGTGTCACAACCTGGAAGTCCCTACTCCAGCATTACCACTGAAAATACTCCTAACTACACCACTATCAGAGACTGACCTTCTCCCCAGTTTATAGCCACCACTGGGTGTAACTCCTGAGTACTGTCCCATGGCGTGTGTAATGTACTGACTCTTTTTATAGTACCTGGGATTAGCTAACCAACACAGTATAAGTTGTTAGTGAAAGATTGTCTCATCCTTTATAGGATAATCCAGTTAGCTACCCATTTGGGAGAGAAAGTTTGGAATTTATAGTTGAAAGAACAAATGCAAACAACCAAGAAATGTACACAAGTTTTCTTTACTTCCTTATAGTTCAGAAACTGTTAATGAAAACAAAGATGTCTTCACTAGTTAGATTGACAGAAATTAGAATGACAATGTCTGGTACTGTTGAAGGCATGGGGAGAGGATTTTCTCGTACACTATTGGAGGTGCAGTAATTATTACAAACTTGGAGAAAATAATCTGGCAATGTGTAGTAAAACAAATTGCACCTGGTATTTGACTCAGCATTTTTACTTTAATATACATATGTGTATATATATATATATATATAGTTGGAGTCAGAGTCTCACTCTGTTGCCTGGGCTGGAGTGCAGTGGCACGATCTTGGCTCACTCTAACCTCCACCTGCCAGGTTCAAGTGATTCTCCTGTCTCAGCCCGCCACGTAGCTGGGATTGCAGGTGTGCACTGCAACACCCAGCTAATTTTTTATAGTTTTAGTAGAGACAGAGTTTTACCATGCTGGTCAGGCTGGTCTTGAACTCTTGACTTTAAGTGATCCACCTGCCTCAGCCTCCCAAAGTGCTGGGATTACAGGTGTGAGCCACTGTGCCTGGCCCAGAAATATATTTTAACTGAAATAAAAATGCTAGTAAGAGAGAATATAGGACATCATTTGTAGTATTAAAGATCAAGAAACAACCTAAATATCTATCATTGAGAGAATGTGTGAGTAATTTTTGATATAGCCAAACTGGAAATTTATAGCCATATTATGCAGCTATTATGAATAATACATTATTTATGGTGGGGACTCTTATAATCCCCACACCCAGGCTCACCCCAAACCAATTAAATCTTACTATTAAAACTTCCCAGATGGTTCCAAAATTGAAAGTTACTGCTCTAGTGCAGGGAATGGCTAGTGTTTTCTGGGAAGGGCCATATAGACATATTTTAGGATTTGTGGGCTGTACAGTCTCTGCCCTGTAGCACAAGAACAGCCATAGATGATACATAAAGAAGCAGGCATGGCTGAATTCCAATAAAGTTTATTGTAGACGCTGAAAAAAAACAGTATAGTTGAAACATAGAGTTCATATTATGAACTGTCTTAGAGGCTTAAATTTAGTGTATTACATACAGCAAGTTTCTTTAGTTCATATGACTGTAAATGTGTATAGTCTTATTTTTGTATAAAATATATATAGTGTCATTTTTGTGCAAAATAAACCCATACATTTCTATGAACCAGGCCAAAAAATAAAATAAAAGGAAGTATATATACCCAATTGTTAGTAGGGATTGGGATTGGAATTGATGGGATAGGAATGGAGAAGACTAAGGTAAGCTCCTAATTTTATTTTAGATACTTTTAAATTGTTGTAACAAGCATATGCTACTTATACATTTAAATGATATAAAAAAAACCAACCCCTGCAGCACACCTTGTTCACACAATTAACTTATAAATTTCCATAATTTGCTTCTCATTACGTATGTACAGCGAACATGGTTATTTCTTGCAATTTCTTTTTAGTTTTTTTCCTAGATACGTTTATATTATCTGTTTTCATGCAAATGGCTAATTTGTTGGCCCATGGTCATTGCTAATCTTTCTTTATAATGTTTTTAGTTTCTATAGAGTAGGGAGTGATGTTCTGTCTTTCATTCCTGTTTTTGATTGTGTCCTCTCTTTTTTCATGGTCTGTCAGCCAGTAGTGATTGTGTTTGCCCCACTTTTCCCCTGAGGGACATAGGCAATGTTTGGTGACATTTTTAGTTGTAAATTTTTTTTTTAGGGGGGCTTACTGGAATCTATTAGATAGAAGCTGGATATGTTGCTGAACATTGTATAATATATAGATCAGCCCCCAACAAGAAAGAATTGTCTGTCCCAAAATGTCAACAGTGCTGAGTTTAAGAAACCCTCGCCTAGCAAAAAGTTTGTTAATTTTGTTGTTCTTTTTAAAGAACCAATTTCTGGTTTAATTGATTTTCTCTGTTTTGTTTCATTGATCTTCTTTTATTTATTGCTTTCTTCCTTCTGTTTGTTTTGAGTTTAATTTGCTTGTTTTGAGTTTAATTTTATTTGGAGATGGAATTTCACTCTTGTTGCCCAGGCTGGAGTGCAATGGCGAGATCTCTGCTCACTGCAACCTCCGCCTCTCAGGTTAAAGCCATTCTCCTGCTTCAGCCTCTGAGTAGCTGGGATTAAGGGCACTTGCCATGACACCCAGCTAATTTTTTTCTGTTTTTATTAGAGACAGGGTTTCACCATGTTGGCCAGGCTGGTCTGAATTCCTGACCTCAGATGATTCACCCATCTCTGCCTCCTAAAGTATTGGGATTCCAGGCACGAATCACCATGCCTGGCTGCCATTTTCTTGCAGTGGAAGCCTAGATTATTGATTTGAGACCATTATTTCTACTGGAGGCATTCAAAGCCATAGATTTCCTTGTAAACATTGCTTTAGCTACATTCTACACATTTTGATATGTTGTATTTTTGTTTTAATTCAGTTGACAATATGTTCTAATTTTCTTTGTGATTTTTTTTCTTTGACCCATAGGTTTTTTAGAAGTGTGTTGTTTAATTTCTCAATATTTCAGGATTTCCTAAATTTCCTTCTGTTGATTTCTAATTTCTGT